ATGTAATGTGGATCTGACAAAAATACCAGATCCAAAGCATTTGGATCTAATAGTCTGCCAAGTTCAAAGTAACGTGAGTCTGACAAACATGCTAGATTTAAGACATTTGAACTTGATACTCAGCTAAATGTAAAGTAATGTAAGTTTAACAAATATGCCAGATTCAAGACACTTAAACTTGATAGTCCGCTAAGTTTAACACACTTAGACTTGGCAGACAACTAAGTTTAAGACAATGTGGTACTAACAAATATGTCAAACTCAAGACACTTGAACTTAGCAGTTAGCCAAATCCAAAGTAACGATCATCTTTCCTTGGGCACGTCCAAGGGAATGACCATCCTCCTTTGGGTATAATCACGGGAAAAACTCAGTTTTCATAGGCTTAACTGCTTTTTTACGTCTTGGACCTTAATCTCTCTACACCTTTTAGGTGTATAAAAGTCTTTAAAGGACCCAACATATTCTCATCGAACATTAGTATAGATGCAAGAAATATTTATCAATCATTAAATATTATTAGGATAAGATTACACCTTTTTAGTATATAAAAGTCATCTAAGAACTCATCATATTCCCATCAAACATTAATATAAATGTAAGAGATATTTATCCTTTATTGAATACTATTAGGGCAATTACATTGCAGGCCCTCTTATTCATAAAAAAACAAGATTCATGAGCTATAAATACACTTTGAAATCTTCAGAACAAAGGTTCACAATCTTCATTCTCTACTATATATATATATATATTGTATTTTTTTTATATATATATATATTGTATTTTTCTCTTTTTAAAAAAAAATACTCATTCAAGCATCAAAAAATTCTTATCTCCACCTAAAGAAATTTTTTATAAATATTAGCCATAAGTCATCTTGATTAAAAAGAATTAAAAAATTATTAAAATTAATTAATTAACCGATTATTTAATTCGAATATCTTATTCATTGTCTTGTTGAACTTATGAGACCTCATTCTTTTCAAGTGCAAAAAGAAAAATATCAGATATTCCTTTTCTAGTGCAAAAAGAAATACTGGGGGTAGCGGGGGTAGCTTATAAAAGTAGTGGAGTATCCGAGAAGCCTTTATGCTTTCATAATTAGTCGTTACACTGTTTTATATATGAACGAGGACCTATTTATTTTTCATTTTATATTTACATAATTAATCTTTATATGGCTTTATGAACGAGAACCCCCCTTTTTCTTAAAAAACAAATCAAGGTCTGGTGATCCACAAGAATCATTTTACACAAGCTATCTAAGGCGATATATGACATTGGTTCAAGAACAAAAAAAATGTCAATTTCTTCTTTCATTAGTTAACGTACAAGATGCATCTTAGTGTTTATCTACATTATTCTTTTTTTAATCCTGTCTTGTTTTGTGCCGATTCTAATTACTTTGTTTAATTATGAATGTTACTTTATAATTTCAATGACAAGTCCATTGTCCACTCTTGTTTAACCCTAATATTGCAGACGCTATCACCCAAGGATCTAACCACACGTATGGTGGATATCAACCCTCTTTTTCATGAACTACACTATAAATAGCATGCCAGACCTGATATTCAATCATCCCGAGTTGATTTAGCTTCAGCAAATTCATTTTCCAATTAGCCCTTTATCCTATAGAAGATGTCTGGATCAGGTTGTAGCTGTGGATCTGACTGCAAGTGCGGCAGTGGCTGCAAGTAATTGCTATTTCTTTTCTTTAAAACCTTTTGCCTAGAAACATCCAGTCATGGAGCATATTAGTTGCTTGATTTCTTATTTTATTTATTTCCTTTCTCTTCTGGAGACTATAGTCTGACATCTACCTTTCTGTTTTCGTGATTTCCTTGGCAGATGTGGCATGTACCCTGACTTAGGTATCTCAGAAAGCACCACAACTGAGACAATCATTGCAGGTTTTGCACCAGTTCACATGTAAGTGTCGCACAGTTGAAATACTGTAACTAGCTCCTGATAACAAGGAATTTAACTGATTTGCTACTGATGCTGCTGCTGCTGCTGCAGGTTCTATGAGAGGTCTGAGATGAACTTTGGTGCTGAGAATGGCTGCAAGTGTGGATCAAGCTGCACCTGTGATCCATGCTCTTGCAAATGAGAAAACTTGGGCATGGCTCCAACAAAGCAGTTATTGTGTGCTATAATAAAACAGGTGGTCATGCAGTCCATGTATGTATGATGGTGTTTGCTGTAAAATAATAAAAAAGCAAAGGGTTCCTCAAAATCCTCCGTAGGATTTCATTTGCTGCTGTAGCTTGATGGCTACTGATCTTTGTCTTGTGTGTGTGTCACTGCTTTGTTGGCTTCAACTTTCAAGATGATTGAATGAAAAATGCTTGATTACTTCGTGCTTTAATAGTGTGCAAACCTTTCTTCTCCTTTTTACCTGCAAATCATTGACTTTTCATTTGCTTTGACAATGATCGATGATTTGGCCATTCCTAATGCTATGATAACATGGTAAAATATGACGCCATTGCAAACATTATTCTCTTGGATAAGAATTATCTATAATTTTCTCCTCTCTTTTATATATAAGATTTAAAGATTCCGTAATCAAATCAAGTACACCAACTAAGTGATCATTTGTATTTGCGGCCCAAGTCAGTGCTTTTAAAAAAAATGTTGTTTTAATTATTTTTTTTGTTTTTTAATTATTTTAATGTGCTGATATTAAAATTAAAAAATAAAAAATAAAAATAAATATTATTTTAATATATTTTTAGATAAAAAATATTTTTAAAAATAATTATTACTAAATACCCAATACTACAATTCAATGTTGTACTTGATTCAACTAAAAATCTAGATGGATGAAGCTCTTAATTTAGAGTAGTTTTTTTTTTTTGATAAATCAATGGTTCGTGGGGATTAATCGTGATGCGCGCAAGTTGGTCCGAACACCCCACGTAAATAAAAAAAAAAAAAGTAGAATCCAACAAGAACTTCGCTATGAAAAGGAGCTTAATTTGCAAATCTCATGTTAGGAAACGTGCAATACAAATTTTTTGCAACATTTCTGCTCCATTTATGGGGAAACTATGGAATACAAAGATTCTTGGTTGTGTGGCCATATTCATTAGATTAGATGTCATCTGGGGTATTTTAATAGATCACATCAAAATAAAAAAAATAATTAAAAAAATATAATTATTCAATCTAGAAAAATTTATAATTTGCATCACAAGTTTAGTGAATTAAATTATAAAATATAAGTAAATTCAATATATTAAACTATATTTTTATATATTAAATATATTACCATTTTATCATTTTAAAAAAATATATATTAAATAATTTTTTAATTAAACTATATTGTTATTGATTATGATTGGATTTGAACTCAAAAGTAAATATATATTAATTCTTTAAGCAAAAGAAATCCATCCCACCAGGAAATTCCATGCTATGCAGTAGAATAGAGACAGGGAAAGTGATTTACCATGCACATGAGAGGAGTTAAAGTGGTGGTGAATTGGGATCTTTCTCAATAATTTTGAGCTGACATAATGCCGTCTCAAATGGTGGTCTTCCGCGATGCCCTTGAACCATACAGCCCACAGAAGACAACGAGAGAGCAATAAGAGGTCAAATTCATTCAATGAGGTTGAACAAAGGACAAAGGAGCAAAGTGCCAGCCTCGTGCAATCCATGACAGATACAGTAATCAGAAGCAAGATTCGTGTTCTTGACAAAAAAAGAGTAGCCAGATAAGGGAATCGAAGCACAAGGCTGATGTATGAATAAACAGATAGCAGCATAATCAATAAAAACAACAGTTTTATAATCTCACAATCTCAGCAAAAATTGCCAAACTAATCGAACAACAGGTGCAATGATCGATAGTCAAATCCAAACAGTGAGTTCAAGATGAGATAGGTATTGCAGATTGCCTGCCTCATTGAATATCACCATTTTTTCCCCTCAAAGCTGCTGTCAGTTGAGAGAAAGCAAGATTAGTGTTCTATACTGCCACGAAAAGACGAGGATAAAGACACCAGAGCTGAAGTATGAGTAATTCAAAAACTGCCTGAGTTAAAATATTAAAATTAAATACATTTTCAAATCAATACACACATAACACCCTCTTGAACTTAAATTCAACAAAAAAATTCCAATAAATTCACCACAAATCAGCTATAAAGATTAACTTTTTTTAGAAATCACACCATCATACATAACCTAGATATAAAATATGAACTGATTCGGGTTAAAAAAATATGATAAAAATTTAATATAATCTAATCCAATAAAAAATCAAGATTGACTCAAATAAAACCAATTAAAAACTTGTTAAATATTTTATTTATATATTTTTTTAAATAATATAAAAATATTAAATGAATTCAGGTTGATATTTTTTCGATAAGAAACCATCCCTACCCCAAGTTAACCCTAGCTTAAGATTTATAACTATGCCATTAAATATAGATTCAAGACCTTACATGTAAAATAAATCGCACCTTTGAGGTTCTCTCTCACGTCAAACTTTTTTATTCCAAGAGAATTATGCCCAAAAAATACCTTATAAATGCATCAATTTAGATAAGGAAAACTTGTCCACAGATGAATTAAAATATACATATTTTTAAAATGGATCATAAAAAAAATGTATATCAATAAAAACTGAGGTTGACCTGTAAGAAAAAAAAAAAGAACAGAAAAACAAAATAAAATCAGAAGACCCACACGTGTTTCTTTTTGGATAAATAACTAGAAATTGAGTGGTGATCGCCTCCATGGTGTCACTTTGTGCCTTGCAGTCACCATGGCCCCAACACAATCCCCATCCCTCTCTTGCACTGCTAATAAACCCACCGTTATCACCAAAACAAATGCCACACCCCCACACCCCCACCCCACCCCCCCAACTCATTACTAGCACTACTCTCTATAACTCTTCTCTCATTAAACCCAATTCAAAGTTCAATTTTTTTAGCACCGAAATCATTAGCAGGACTCAAAAGACTCAAACTTTAGCTATGGCCACAGCCCCAAATACTGCCAAGGTGACCCCAGCCGTGATTGTTGGTGTTGGAAGGGTGGGAAGGCTACAAGAAATGGGTAGTGGGTAGTGGTCAGGATTTGCTTGTGACCAGAGGAGAACCGGTGCCGCTTGATTTTGAGGGTCCCATTTTGGTTTGTACAAGAAATGATGATCTTGATGCTGTTCTCGAATCTACACCCAAGCCTAGATGGAGCGGTATCAATACCTGATTATATGTTACTGTTTTGCTTTTATAAAAATGGTCACAGTGCAAATTGTTTTTGCTTTTAGTTTCGTTGATTGAATTATAATATTATATGCTCTAATTGAACCGAATGGTATTTATGATTGTTTTGTTTGATTGAGTTGGAAGTTTAATATGTATTGTTTTTGCTTTTAGTTTTGTTGATTGAATTATAATATTGTATGCTCTCATTGAATCGAATTGTGTATAGGATTGTTTTGTTTGATTGAATTGGAAGTTTAATATGTCTTATGCCTTTTGAATTGCTTAAATTTTGATCTAAAAAAAAGAAAAAACTGTTGAGTGACAAAATTCAGTGTTTTCTTCATCAATGTCGTTGGATTATGCTATTATGGAATTTATTTGATTTGAAACTTTGGATTTTGTAATCTTTGCTATGCATTTTATGGCTTCTGATAAATGGCAGTGAATGATCAAAGCTTGGAGAACCTCCTACTGATGGAAAGACTGATACCAATCCTGAAGGACTGACTGCAGCATATGGAAAATGGGCATCTGCAGTAGCTGCTAGATTGCATGCTGGAGGGCTGTCCTGTAAGGTAAAGAAAGTTTTCTTAATCTTCATCTGATTGAAACCATTATAAGGGAATTCATTAAAATCTAAAAAACACAGGGATTGGAGGTTGACACACAAAGGTAAGATCTTCAGGTTTAACCCTGTAATCAAAGATATCTTACATGAAAGGCAAGGTTGGCACTTTGATGGGGTGGGCTTTCTGGGTAAAAGGAAAAAGCTTTAATCTGATGGTGTTCATGCTACAATTTAAGTTATTATATGTGTTGCACACCTCTGCTTTGGGTTTCAAATTCGGGTTTTTTTTTTTTTCAGTGTTCAAACTTAATCTAACGTTCCCCCTTTCCCCTTTACATTCAGAATTGTGGAATTCACATTCTGATATTAGTGTGGCATATTTACATTTTTATTCATGCAACCAGGTTCTTGACAAGGAAGCTTTTCAGAAGCAAATGTTAGAGAAGCTGATCTGGATCTCAGCATTCATGCTTGTTGGAGCTCGTCATCCAGGGGCAACTGTTGGTGTCGTGGAGAAAGAATTCCGCAATGAGGTAAAGCTATCTTTGACAATGGAGTCTATTTAAAGCATCAGAGTTTGAGTTACTGCGTATCTTTCACTAGTGTTTATAGTTTATACTTGGATGATTTAATTTGTTTCATTCATTATTTATTTCTTTAATGCTTTCATTTGATTGCAGCTAATCCGCTGTCTACTTGATGCTATTTAGTAAATCCCATTCTCTATGAGTGCTACTTCTTTATGCTTTGTGGACTTTAAGATATAAATCAATTGGATGATGTAATTGTGAAACTAGGTATTCCTTGCACATGATTTTCTGTTTTCTATGTGGTGTACATATCTAAGCAAGTCATGCTCCTACAACTTGGCAAAGAGCTCTTTCCTTTCAGCCCTTCGCTAAGCCTCCTCTCCTTTTGCAGACCTTTACTTCACAAGATTATGATGTTAAGTTCTTCAATTTGTTCGTGCACAATAAAATCTCTAAAATGAATAGATCTGATTGATACTGATATTTGTGTTTCCAGGTGTCTAGCCTTATTACAGAACTTGCATCTGCAGCAGCTGCAGAAAAAGGAATAGTATTTGAAGAAGCTATCGAGGAAAGATTATGTGCTTACGCATGTGCTGTTGCCCACTTCCCAACAGCTGTTAAGGAGGTACAAGGTTTTGTTAACCTTAGCTTATAAGCATTTAGCACAACTTTATCAATTTTGATTGAGTTGGTGGATTTGAACTAGTTTGATAAATATATGTTTGTTAAGAGACTTGAGCCTACCTGGACCTAATAGAAGAGGGTTAAGGGAGGATAAAGTTTACCTTATTTTGTAGCGCATCTACTGCAAGAATAAAATAAAATTGCAATATGCTTCTCACTTGAAAGTTCTTGCAGTTTAAATGGAGGAATGGCTGGTTCTATTCTCTCTCTGAGAAGGCGGTTTCTGAAGGGAAGCCTGATCCTTGTCCCCTACACACATCGTGGCATAAAGAGTTAAAAGTAGTTTAGGATATGAAACTTTTACTTTGTCAATGGACAGGAATGCATGCTTCTCTAAAGGCCACTTGTGGATGCAATTAAGTTAATGACAGTAGTGTACATGGCTGTTACTGTTAATGATGGTTTTTTTTTTTTTTAAATGTTCAGATTAGGAAATTGTTGAAATGAAGGCTGCAAATAATACGAGGGAAAAGAAATTAACTTTCGGGTCCTTATAACCGGTATTTTTTTACGGGGTTTGAGTAGGCTTTTAGGCTTAAAAGCTGAAAAGGCAAATCCCACCCCTCATTCTTGGATTGGAGGCTCATTAGTTGTTTGAGTTAGGTTTTTGACTGATCTCTTTGAAATGATTTAACAACCTGTACCATAACAAGGATCAATTCAAACAATCAAAAGTATTCATATGGCTCAAATGTAGACAATAAGAGCAATTTTGCTGAATTAATTGATGAAAACACAGAGGGCACTATTGTATTGCAGCGCATGCATGCTACAATCAATCTTTTCGATCCGAATGTTCGTGCCTTGGGAGCTATGAGGGCGACCTTCACCTTGAACTTCGATGCGCGGGGGTATTTCAATTACGAGATCAATAAACTTTATATAGCCATTAGAGGTAAGTCTCTGACTTCTTCTTCTTCTTTATTGTTGTCGTTGTTCTGGTAAGGGGTACGGGCACCCTGTAAACCTCCTTGAAAGCTTTGGGCTCATGGTTAATACCATAGTCATCATATCCCATCTGGCTCATAACTCAGCCTAGCCCAGGTCAAGAATTGGGCGGTTCGAATAGATAGCGAGATCAGTACACTCTCTATAGCCATGATAGGCAAGCCTCTGATTTCATCTTCTTCTTCTTGTTTTCTCGTTACCAAAATCGGTGAATAGGGGTACTGGTACCCTGAAACCTCCTAGGAAGCATAGGGCCCATAGTTGACACAGTAGACTGCGTCCCCTTGTGTTAAGCCCAAGGACGCTCCATAGGCCAACAGAGAAGCAACCATTCCTGGAACCCTAATTATTTTTCCAGCAACGATAGCTTGGCCTCCTAGACATACAGTATAATACAAGTGCTAGACTTTTCAAGTGGTTGATTACTGTCCTTGCACCCTCTATTTTCTAATGACAAGTGTTTTATTTGGAATATTGGTGGATCTCAAAGCTGCTAGAAAGTCTTTTAATTGGATGATATTGTCTAGATGGTCTTAATTTCAATTAACAAGAAAAATCCTTCAACGTGTAGGAATTCGATTTCCAAAAGATAACCATCTTCTTGAAGTTTTAAATTTCTATGATTCTGGAATTTATCTTGTTTCGACTTCGAAAACAATTGCAATCTTTCTTCTCTTATCCTTTGCAGCAGCCAAACAAGGAAAAAAAAAAAAAACAACGGTCAACAAAAGAAACTTGAAAGAGTTTTACTGTAACTCAGCTGATGGAAGTGTCTTTTTTCCCCTAAAAATTTCAAGCTCGAGTCTCTCATTTGTAAACAAAATAAAAATAATAATCAAAACCATATGAAAATTGACTAGTAGCTGTACAATTGACTAGGTAACAGCATACGGAACACGAATGCTATATTCATTACTTGAAAAATTAAATTTGAACCGATCTCTGGAGACCAAGGAACTGGACGACTTTTCAACTATATGCTACTGAAAATCAACATTCCACCGGTGTTTATTTTTTTAATTATACGAGCTGGTTTGACCCCGTGAATCACCAAGAAGGTACAGAGAAACATCTCTATTCTTGCTTCACAGGTATATATGAACTTATTTAGGAGCGATTTGGAATCAAAACTTCCAAAAAGAAAAGAAAAAAAAAGCGAGGGAAATGGTTTGGAAATTGGTGTTTCAATTGATGTTGATGATGCTAATGATTCAAATAGCAGCAGCAGCAGCAGCACCGATCGCAAGGTCCGGTTGTCCAGATCGTTGTGGAGACATCAGCATTCCATACCCCTTCGGAATAGGAAAAGATTGCTACATGAACGAATGGTTCGCCATAGAATGCAATGCAACTGTCAACCCTGCTAGAGCTTTTATAAGTGGAATCAACATGGAGGTGCTGAATATTTCAGCTGAAAGAGCCACTGTTACTGTCAAAAGTCCAATAATATCCTCGAATTGTACTGGCGGGGAAGATGGTGTACCTCTGAATTTCACTGGAACTCCTTTTGTCTTCTCCGGAAACGATAATGTATTCATCGCAGTAGGTTGTAATACTCAAGCTTTAATGACCGGAATCACGCCAAGTCTCATCGGTTGTGTGTCTACGTGCAGTGACGTAAAGAGTAAAAATTTCTGCCAGGCTTCACCCCCATCATTCCTTCAGGTTTTCAATCCAAAATTAGAAGCTACAGATGATAATCAAGATAGAGAAGGATGCAAGCTGGCCTTCCTGGTGAACCAGACATGGTTCGAATTGAATGTCAGCGATCCATTCTCGTTGCAATATAGAGATTATGTTCCAGCAGAGCTTAGTTGGACAATGAATGTGAATACTGATGATCCCGTGCATTGCAGAGGATATTACAATGAGTCTTTTCGATCCGAATGTGTGTGTGGTTGGGGCTATGAGGGCATCCCTTACCTTGGATGCATAGGTAAATACTATTTTCCTCCAAAAATATGAGTGATGACAGCATTTTGTTTGTCGAGAAAATGATGATTTTGCCATGGGAATGGTGTCTTAAACCTTGGCATGTTATTTTGCTAGTGATTTCTGTCCTAACATTGGATAATCATCTTATTCGTTTTGGATTTTTGCTCTTATTATTTTATTAGATGTGGATGAATGTAAAGAATCAAAGCATTCGTGCCGAGGGCTACTTAAATGTGTAAATACACGGGGGTATTTCAATTGCGAGATCAATAAACTTTATATAGCCTTGATAGGTAAGTCTATGATTTCTTCTCTTCTTCTCTGCTTTCTTGCTGTCGTTGTTCTTGTTGTTTTCCTTACTAAGATCGATGGTAAAACAGAGAAGAAGCTCATATTTTTGAAGTTAGCCAAAAGATTAAATGTAAAAAATTTAGTGTAAGCCAAGAAATTAAATGTATAAAATTTTAAATACTAGCTACTAAATCCAGCTTGTTGCTACTCAGCAGTCACACACACACATACACATATATATGCTGATGATTGCACATGTCAACAAATTAACTTTTTCTTCGTTGTTGTAAATAATGCAGTTATAGGCGCAGTTGTCTTGGCATTGTTATCGCTGATGGGCATTTGGTGGTTGTATAAACTTGTAAAGAAATGGCAAAAGATTGAACTCAAAAAGAAATTCTTCAAACGAAATGGTGGGCTATTGTTACAGCAGGA